GCCCCCTGGTGGGCTGAGCTGGCCACACACACACACACACACACACAATAAATAAATGTAATAAATAAAAATAAATAAATATTAAAAAAAAAAAAGGGAAAGGGTGTTGTCGAACTGAAGTACAGGTAGCTGACTCTCAAAGACCATTTCAAGAGTTGAACAGTTACAAATCTTTGGCTTTGCCTGTGGGGTAGTTTCCGGGTGTGACTGAGCTTGGCTTGAGTTGTGGATGGACATTTAAGCCTGTCTAAGAGCATGTAATGGCTGTGGTGGAGAAAACCCCAGATTAAGGGCATGGGGCTGACTTGAGGTGAAGGCTGGCCAGTAGGCTGGTACGTGAGCTTGGGTCTCTGACCATTTGTGAAAGGCGGAGGTTGAAGCTGACTTTCATTTTTAAAATTAAGTTTAAAAAATGGAGGGCCGGCAAGATAGTTCAGTTGTCTAAGGTGACTGCTTAAGCAAGCATAGGCAGGCGCAGGGGACTGTGGTTGGATCCCCGGCACCACATGTTGTGCCAGCCCCACCCTCAGGGCAGGCTGAGCTGCCCCCCCCCCCATGGAATGATGCTTATGGGAGAAAAATTGAAGATTATAGAAAATTAAATAGGAAACATCTCTCATTTTTCTATACATGATTAAAATATTTTAGTGTATCTCCTTTGTCTTGTTATGTTTTTATGGCCCACCTAGTTCCAAAAAAGGATTTGGGATGATTTTAGTGTCTATGTATATATATTTATTTTTCATGTTTGAGGCTACATTCTATTTCAGTTTTTCCAGTTATCTTTTTTTTCTGGTACTAAGGCTGAGACCTTCACATATGCTAGGCAAGCATTCTGCTCTGAGCTACTTCCTCAGCCTCCAGTTATCTTCAAAGCACACACATTCTATATAATCATTTTCCTGATGTTGAACTTTTATGAGCTTTCCAGTCTTTTGCTTCAGAACCTGAAGGTCTCATTCTCCCGCCAGAGCTTGGTGATTGGGGAAAAGTTTCCAAGGAGCACAATGCATTTGGAGTTAGAAACAGCCAAGAGCAAACTGCCAGTGAGTGAAGCCCATCAATGTTCAGCTCCTGATGTCCAGGGGCGGGGGGGGGGGGGGGGAGAGAAGTGTTATTGGGGGTTAGGTTCTGAACTTGGGTTTTTGCTGCTCTGTGACTCTGACTGGAATACTGGAGTTGTTTGGGCTTCAGAGCCTGCTCTTTAAAAATACACAGACCCTCAGGGAATTGGGCAGGTCTAACAGCGGTAAGTATTGTATAAGTTATAAATCACAATATGTTTCACAGTGACAGCGACATTCTGCTCCCATGTATGTAGTACCCACAGTGTGCTGGGTGCCATGCTGAGCATTTCTTGCTTAGCATTTCTCTGTGAAATAGCTGCTCTTCTCCTTTAGAGCCGAAGATGTGAGGCTTGGAGAGGTCCGTGCAGCGCTTAGACAGATTGGGAGGAGTTTCTGTTATGCCAAATCATACCACCTGTATGGCTTATTTTTCAGTCATTGTCTCTGAATCTACATTGTACCTGTTTATAGGATTCAACCAGTACAACATCTTGGACCAGTCCATTCTGCATTTTTGTTTGGCATTCATAAAACTTTGGATGGTGTTGATACACGGTAATAATAACAGTGAGAGTAATATGTATCACATGTTTAGTGTTTACTATGTGCTAGCTGTTTATGCGCATTAACATTTAGCTGCATTAGCATGATATATTCATCAGACAGAGGATGCTTTAAGACTTGGAGACCTCAGTGGCTTGAACTTGGCACAGTACCTCTGCACCTAGTGTGTATTCAGCACACAGCGTTTGCTGTATGAATGAGTGAATGGGTGTGCTGCGGGTCTCCAGCTACTGAGCGTTAAAGCTGGGACTAAGCCCCAAAGTCTGAGGTCTTAGGCTCTGCCCTTCATGCCTCCCAGGTGGCTTAGCTGTGTGGCCCACGTGACCTGGCCTGCTGGTTGTCATCTGCAGTCTGGGCATGCTTAGCTGTCTCTGTTGTTCAAAGACCCTCTCATCTCTTTTCCTGTGTGTTCTCTTCTAGTGGCCTTGTACCCCCTTTACCAGATGACCTGGATGGCATCAGCCCCAGTGCTGCGTTGGGAAATGGAAGTAAGTGTACACTGCCTGGGGATTCTCTTGAGGGAGAACGAGGGGATGGACAGTAGTGGGAGCACCTTGCGGCCTGGGACTGGGCTTCCAGGTCTGGGGTCTGGAGCTTCCTTGTCCTGGCGCACAGTGGCTACACAGCATTTTACGTCCTGTGTTGTACTGATTTGCTCTCCCCCTGCTTTCACAAGCACTGGACTGCGGGAGTTAATGGACTGGACTAGGTGTTTTTTCCACTACCAATCCCGTAGGGTTCAGCCAGTGTTTGCTGTACTGAATGACTTGGGGGAGGCCGACGTGGAATTGCTGAGCAGACCTGGTGTGGGGCTGCTGTGGCTCTCCACTGGCGAGTGCCTGGAGGCCCAGGAAAGCTGCCGCCTGGCTTTTGTGTGCCAAGGCCTTCCTGGCAGGCTGCTGGGCTCCAGTTGCGGGTTGAGGTCCACATTCCTACACGGGCCTGCCCTTTGGACGAATAGCTGCTGAGGCCATAGGAGACGTTGCTGAGTAAATAAGTAATGTAATATATTTAAGCAGGATTATTAGGAGACTTTGCAGTTTGGGTTTGGCTGAGCATGCCTCATACTTTTCATTGTGAGATCAAGGGAATGCTGTCCCAAGTTTCTGTATGGGTAGTGCTAATAATTAGCCTATTGGAATATCTCAGAGATATTTTGACTTGTGTGTTTTTTTTTTCCCCCTCATCTCCGAAGTGAGATATGTAGAAAGAAGCTTTGGTTCATCTCCTTCATGCCAGACTCAACTCAGCACTAGGCTCCACCTTCATTACCTTCTAGCTAAGAACACAGAGTTAGGTGAAGGTGTATGTCTGTGTTGGGTGTGAGGAGGTGTCGCGTGTTGAGGGCGGGTATGAGAGGGTTACGTGGATGGGTCAGGCAACAGTGTCCTGAGAGGCCAGCGTTGGAGCTGAGGCTGAACTAAGGCCTAGGTAGGCATAAAGGAGGGGGCAGAATCTTGGATGACAGGACAGGTGGCAGAGCAGCCTGAACAGGAACAAGAACCCCCTGCACCCTCTGTGCCCTCCAGTCTGGTGTGCAGGGATTTGCACAGTCTGCCCAGGCCCCTCCTCAACCTCTTTCTGCTGAGTGGTTTTCAAAAACCATGCCCACTCCCACCTTTGGGCTTTTGTCTGGGCTGTTTGCTGGGTGCTTCATCAGCCTGGTGCCTGCCTCTGTTTTTTTAGAATTTAGCTCAAAGCTCCTTCTTTGACTTACTTGGTTATGCTTTTCTTGGAACATTATACATTTCACTTCATTTTATTTATTCCTGTTGGTGACTTTTAAAATATCCAGAGTCAAACCAGTTCTCATCCACTGACACTGCAGAGCACCAGGGTCTCTAGCCTGGATTATCCTCTTATTCTCCTGACTGGAACTTTTGTTTTTCTCCCAAGTTCTTATGGTCTGTTCTCCGCCAGGCAGCCAGAGGGAGCCTGGAGCAACGTGAGTCTTCTGCTACTCCTTCCCTCCAGATCTCTTGCTCCAGATCCACCAGTGGCTCCTCATCCTTCGTCCAAAACCCCTCGCAGTTCCTCTTCCTCTGCGCCCTTTGTTGGTTGGTCTCCAGCCATTGCCTCTTCTTAGACCCCTGCACATGCTCTGACCCAGGTTCTCCGCACCTGGAGCGGTGTTCTCCAAGTAACAGGCTACTTCCCTGCAAGCCTGCACAGGGTGGCCTTCTCAGTGAGACCATCCTTGGTGGCCTTATGTAAACTTGCAGTCTACTCCCCACCTCTGGATTTCCCATCTTTGTTCATTTTATTTTTCTCCATAGCATTTACCTTGAGTGTATTACCCAGCTGCCGCCTTATTTTACTTATTGTCTGTCTGCTTCCTCTAGAGTAGGAACTCTTGTTTCCTGATGCGGGCACATCGAGAAAGCTGCCTGGCAGAGAGAAGGCCCTCTGCGGCTCTGATGGGGAGTCAGTGGGTTCATTTACTCCACGCGTATTTACAAAGCACCTGATGGTACCAGGTACTCTGCTCTGCGTGAATAGTAATTCGCTTTCCTGCTTGTGTCTGGCCCACTTGCTTAGGAAGGGTCAGTGTCTCCTTCCCCATTGCTTCTCCGGCACACAGGATAGTGCTTCGTGCAGAGGAGGTGTCTAATAAATGTCTGTGGAATTCAGGAAGCTGTGGAGAGATTGCAACCGCAGTTTTCACTCAAAACAGAGGTCAGCAGTTTCCCTCCCACTGCCTGCTTTTGGGAGTAAAATTTTATGGGAACGTGGCCACTTTATGGGTTAGCTATGGCTGTTTTGTGCTGTAGCTGAGGAGTTGTGTAGCTGGTGACAGATTTTAGGCTTTGTGTGTGGCCTGTAAGGCTGGAATATGCATTGTCTCGTGTTTCAAAGAAGTTTGCCAACTCCTGTGTCAAGGTGCTTCGATACAGTGCTTTGTTACCAGCGCGTGAAGGTGAGGACACTCGTGTCGGGGCAGTCTGTTTCACCATGTGCCCAGCGCCTTTTCTGGGTTCATCCCCTGACACACATTTACACTGGGGAAAGTTGGAGTAATTTGTCAGCATTTGAAGTAACATGGCTCCGAGCTGTCTCCGGTCTCAAGCCCATAAAGCACAACAGGCAGAAAATGCCAACAGGGTACACGGCGGAAACGTCTCAGGTTTTCTCTACTCTAGGGTAGTCCTTAGCGACAGTGTCTGTGTGCCATGACATTTTCTGTGCTCTGTTTTGCCTTTTTATAGTGCTCCCAACTGCGTCAGAAGAAAAGGTGTCTCCTACCAGAGTGCGGAACATGAAGGACTTTGAAAATGTAAGTGGATGTGATAGCAGATTAGTGTTCCTGACAGATCATCCCTGCTGCTGCTGGCCAGCCAGATGCAGGAGGAGCTGCGATTCGTGAGGACGAAGCTGGGTGACATGGGGGTGGGAGGGACGGACACCAGGGCCTGGGCGCTCTCCGTGGGCTCCCCGTACCTACAGTCAGCCACTGCTGCCTCTTGACAGGGTCAGCTGGTTCCAGCTTTGGGCCTTGGCGTATTTCTGGTGTCCTGAAGATGAGGAAGTGACACGATCGAGGAGAGCTAACATTTCTCAAGGGCCTCCCAATAATGGAAGGCATGTGGTGTGTGGCCCCCGGTTGTTGTTTGGTATGACTCTTGAGGTATTTTGTATTTCTTTCATATAGCCCCATTTTGGAGAGAAGGAATCCTAGGAGGAGGAGAGACCCATTTGTTGTCATATAATGGAGGGGGCGGGGCTGGGATTTGCTTCCAGGTTTTTAGTGATTCTCCAGCCATTGTGGTTTGCCCTGCTGTGTGTGTCCTGTTCACCCTGGAGCGTTGCTGTTGAGTGCAGTGTGAGCAGCCTGCGCAGTGCTGTGTGGCAGTTGTCTGCGCATGGATTACTTGGTGACAGATTTGGCTTTTGATTCTTAATGTCTTCCAGCATTGTGTCTTTCATTTGTTAATGGAGGGGGTTTGTTGTCAAGTAGTAGGAAAATAAGGTTATTTTCCCAATTCCAATTCTCTTTAACAAGTTACCTGCTCAGCGCTCTAATTTATCTTGGGAAGAATTAGACCCTTTTTCATTTGTAACCAAACGGAATCCATACCCTGCAAGACACAGGAGATATTTATCAGAGACAAGACGGAGGACACAGAGAAGGGCGCTCCACAGTTATGTTTGTCTCTCCCCAGTTGTCTTTACAGAACAGAGTGGTGCTGTCTCTGGATTTAATTTAGAGTACTCATTACTGCTAATAGTTATCTGCAAACCACCAGTGACCAATTGAAGAAATGACTTGTCAGATCTCTAATGGAAACAAGTAATTTCTGAGCTCTGAGTTGTTATAATTTCAGCAGTACAATGCGATCTATGTCGTGGGGTCTGGGGCCTCAAATGAATGAGATTTGATTATTCCACATCGTGTATAATTAAAATATGCTCTGCTGTTAAATGGTTGTTCCTGTTTTATCATAAGAGTAATAATAGCTCCTGTTTATGGAGCGCTTGCTCTGAGCTGAGCATTTTGTGTAAGTTCTTTGTTATATTCCTTTAATATTGAAGCAGCTTTCTGATATAGAGAGCTTCTACTTGTTTTTGAAGGGCACAGTTTTAAATTTCATTTCTAGATGGGAAAATTTAATAGAATTGTAAAATTTTGGGTCCACGTTTTGTTGTCTGCCTTTTGAACTGGAACAAGTCCCCAATCCTAGTCTTTCTCACATTCAGGACAAACGAGACTCAGGATGTGAAGTGGCTGTGCTGTTCCGAGACAGCCTGTGCTGCCGGAGGGCTGCGGCGTGCAGAACCAGACCGCCTGCGTGCCCGCTTCTGCCTGGTGCCCTTGGGCTGTGCTGTGCTTGCTTCACCTTGCACAGGGGCGCAGAGGTGGTGCCGCTCACAGAGCCCTTGGGATCAGGGCAAGTGCAGCGGGACCCCTGGCGGGAGCGCAGCCCCATGTGCGTGGCCTCTCCTTGTTACTGTGCTCTCCCCTCTCTGGTTCAAGCTCCTCTTGCCCAGGCTGCTCTTGATGGCCCCAGTTCCCCTCTGCTTGAAGGTGAGGGAGAGCCTTCTATGCCAATACATTTTAGGATTTATGTTTTTTCTTTATGACTGTGGTCCTTTGGCTGCTGTTAGGTTTTTATGGTATTAATATCTTTTATTGTAGCATTTTCGAGAGCAAATTCTGCAGCTGAAATTGAAATGACCACACTGTTTTCAGTGTCTCCCTTTTAGGTCTTTTGTCAGTCACTGACATTTTTCATTTGGTCCCAGCTTCATATAGTAGCTCAGGCCGTAGATCTCCCTGTAGTAGGAGACTGAGCTTTCTGTGGGATGTTATAGGAAATGCCTTTGGCAGCTAAAGCTAACTTGTTTCTTGTACTGAGAATCGAACTCAAGACCTTGGGCTTGCCAGCCAGGCACTGTGGCACTGAGCTACATCCCTTACACTCAGCATGTATATTAAAAGAGGCTAGATGTAGAAGAGAAACATATTATTCTTCTGCTCCAGTCATTGGCGGTTGCATTTAGTCCCCAAAGAGTTAGAGTCATCGTACTGTGGTGTGCATGCACACCCACATTTATAACAGCACAACTTATAAGATCTAAATCTCAGAAGTAGCCTGTCTGCCCATCAACGATGGACGGGTAAAGAAAACAAGGTCTTTATACACAGTGGAGTATTACTGTGCCACGAAGAAGGATCAGCTTAAGTAACTGGAAGCATCTTGAGACCATAATACTAAGTGAAATGAATCAGACAGGCCCTTAACTATGGTGTGGTTTTTCCTGTATGAGAAACTTAAAATACAAATAAAAGAGCAAAGTAATAGAGAGACGGTAGGAAATAGGGACATGTCTTTCAAATGGGATGGGGAGCAAGGGGTGGAGGGAGGGGAAGGGGGATGGAAAAGAATGAAGAGAGAAATAGAAAGCGCTTTCGCAAATGGGAAGGGCACCAGAAGTTGGAAGGAGCAGGAGACCTAGGAGAGGGGTGAAAGAGCGACTAGGCTGTGTCATGTAACGGTAAGTGTAGGCGTTCTGTGCTACAAACGTTACTAATTAAAAAAAAGGTGGGTGCAGTTAGTGTGGGCTGAGAAGGCGCAGGCCCTCTGTGCTGCTGCACAAGCCCAGCTGTGCGTGAGCACTTGCCCGCGCGTGTCCCCAGGCCGGTCTACCTGCGGGGGGCCTTGGGAGTCTCAGGGCGTGGAGACCAGGTGTGTTGCCCTGTCAGGAGGCTCAGTCTGGTTGGGGTGGGAGAGAGGAACCTAACAGTGATAAAGTGGGGGAAGAACCAGGTGCTCTGGGCCCTCCGCGGGACAGGGAGGTCGGCCCCTAGGGACAGGCAGACAGGCCTGGGCCGGCCTCGAAGGCGCACTGGCGCAGGACTGAGCGAGCGCAGCAGCGCCAAGAGCTCAGGGAGTTAAGCTCCCTTTGGCAGCCGTGAGGCTCCATGAGGGAAACGACCCCCAAGCAGGCAGGGGCCGGACCCTGCAGCTTCCTGAATGTGGCACTGCTTGCTTTGAGTTTTGTCTGAAGGTGAAAGGAAGCCAGTGATGGGTTTACTCTTGGGAGGAAAGTGACCAGAAGCACGCTTTCAGAGCTTGCCTAGGCCTGCGCCCATGAGGAAAGGGCTCGGAAGATGGGGGAGTGAAGCTGCTGGCACGGTGATGAGTAAAAGCTGCTGTGAGGGGGTGGGCCAGAGGGAGGAAGCTGGAGCCAAGGGGCTGCAGTCATCCAGGGACTCACAGAGGAGGACTGGGCATCACACTGGTGGGGCTGCAGCTTCAGGACATCTGGGCTGCTCTTGGACACACCAGCTCTGGGGGCCCTGAGGGCTGGGGTATTTATTTGTTTGATACAGAGTCTCACTATGCAGCTCAAACTTGTAGTGATCCTCCTGTCTCAGCCTCCCCAGCACTGTTATTATAGGTGTGTGCCACTACGCCCTGTTTCTGGGACCAGTATGTCATGTACTGTGGACCAAACCCAGGTCCTTGCGCTTGCCAGGCAGGCTCTTAGAGCACCGAGCTATCTCCCCTCAGGCTGGGGTCTCTTGTGGCTTGAACCCAGGCCTGCTGGCGGGAGTCCTTTGGCTGTCCCCTCTGTGCCTCCTGATGAGTGGGCCTGCCTTTGGGTCTTTGACCTGGTGACCCACTGTCCACGGTCCTCCTGAGAAGTGGGTGTAATCACTTGTGTGGAAGGCCTGGTGGGTGGTGGGAAGCTGGTGAGTTGGTGAGTCCGTTTGGTGTTCACTAGGTGCCTCCTCACTGGCCCTTTCTGGGTGGCAAAGTCCTGGGGAGCACCCGTGGTGAAGGAGGCCTAGTCGAGGTCATGTTCTGTGGAGCCCCGTGCTCTGCTGTGGACTGTTGTGGGCACTGACATCTTTTTTGTTTTTGGAGTTTGGACTGAGGAATGTATAGAGCCTGTTGAGGTATAACCAGTCTGGGAAGCTGCCTTTATCAATATATAGAATGGTTTAATTCTGGCTTTTGACAGAGAATGACATGGTTAGTTTTTCATTTTAATACTAATGGAAGACATTATTTAGTGACCAAAATATTTCATAAGAATGTGCATTAAAATGAATGGGTTGGATCGTAATTTACATAATTGCCTATTGTGGGACATTTCAAGTTGTTGCTCATTTATCCCTATTACAAACAAAGCTATAATACGTGTCCTTGTGCATTTATCTTTTTCCAGTTAGGTTTTTTCTTTCTGTTTTTTTTTTTTTTGGGGGGGGGTAAATTTCTTGAAATGGGCTTTTTGGCTGTCAAAGATTTTATGTGTAAACTGTATGTCAGGAACAGTAGACACTTCAACGGAAGATTGATTTTGAGTGGATTCTCTCTGAAGAGGGAGGGTTGGGGAAACCCTCAGCCAGGTATGGCTAAAACATTTGTCATATCCTCTTCCTACCCAGATCTCTGTGTGTTTGTCCTTTCTGGACTTTTTTATTCCCTGATACCTGCAGATGATGGTGTTCATGTATTGTGGCCCTCATTCCTGTTGGTTGAAAATTCATGGTCTCAGCTCAGGCCAACTTGGTCTGGCAAGGAGCTTTGAATATTTATTTAAGTGTGCTCTTTGAGCCAGGCTCTGTGACTCACATCTGTAGTGGGAGCACTCAGGAGGCTGAGGCAGGAATATTGCAGTGAGTCTGAGGCTGCCTGTACTACATAGTGAGACTCTGCTTCAGAAAAATCAACCACCAAACAAAAACGTTGCTCTTCGATGTCTGTGTTGTGAGTTACTTATCCATGGAGAGGAGCACCTCCTCTATTTGTACAGCCCTGAAGCCTT